GGGGTGTAGACTTTGTTTTGATTCACCCCATCCATTGACATTTGTGTTACAGGATGCAAGTGGGTTGATGGGTGGTATCAAGACAAAGTCTACAGCAACCCCCCACCCCAACCATTTTTCTCCCTCAGGCCATGCTCTGCTCACTTTGTCATCAATTTTCATTTTTCTCCACTTGGGGGCCTGTTTGCAGGCTAGAGAAAAGGGAAAGAAAATACACCCTTCCTTGGTACAGGGCTGTCATTAAGAGGCGGGGGCCGGGGATTTCCCCCGGCTACTATGCATGTGGCCCCTGGCTACTTTCATAGGAAAACAGAAGAAAAATAGAACCAAATGAAAACTCTGGCCATTTTATTCCCTGCCTACTTGTTGTATTTAACCGGCAACTTAAAATCTTAGTGACATCCGTAATTGGTAGCCAGTGTACAGCCACCCCTCCCTTGAAAAAATCGGGGAGAGGGAACCGCTCTCTGTTTTTTTGGGGGAGTGAGAAGCTGTACACATGTTATCCATCGGAGGAGTATGGATATTTTCTGGATCAACATCGTCAAATGAAGGATACAAGGCAGATCATTTAAATCAATAATTTCATCTTGTTTATTATTATTATAATACTACTTATTACTCAGTGACGAAACTTAACTTCTGTCCTTTACTAACTAGCTGTTATTTATTGCTGTTACAAGAAGAAACTTTTCTGAATTTTGCTACTTCAACCTTAAATGACAAATAAAATATAACACACTTTACCACTTGTATTAAGTACAATAAACTAACTGAAGTGTGCATTCAATTTCACAGAATATATGGCATTCAGTTTCAGCAATCCCAGTCCTCCATGTTGTGCAATTTTTATACAAAAGGAATAAGATCTATTAGTTATCTATTATTGTAATAGGCAGAAGTCTAATTTCTGAGTGTAACTTGGTGTTTTCTGTTTTATACTATGACAAACTAGTGGAAAAAAAATATGCCCAAGGTAACAAAGAAAGGTGAAGTGTCCCCTCAGCCCAACAACCCCTAGCCTGCGCAGCAGGGCATCGAACGGGGTAGGGGATTGAAAAGAAGGGAAAAAGGGAGGGGGATTGGGGAGAGAGGGTAAGGGACTGCCATGCAGGGTAACCAATCCCAACTAAAACTTCTTGCCGTGTTCCCCTACTTGGAGAAAAAATACTGATGATGACTGCGATGTCATGCAAAATGGCCAACATATGAAAGACAGCTTGTGAGGTCGCATTTGGGTTTGGTTTGAGATATCACCAATTCATAATCATGGTTACTAGTCTAAACTGTTTGCAGTAACCTCATCCTAACCACAGTAGTGAAAATTAATGATTAGAAGTTGCATCATTTTACATATTAACAGGGTTTATCAAAGTGATTTTCAGGAAACCAGTTAATCTCAAGCTGTCTTGTCAATAATACATGTAACAATGGAAGAAGTTGATTTAAGAATGGCTTAGTAACTATAAATCTTAAAGAATTTTAGGTAATGAAACCCCTTGTTTGCACAGTGTGCATATTTGGTTATGTACATTTAAAGCCTAAACAATCTGATAAACCCAAAGATATTAAATGTCTGGTCCCAGCTCTCTTGAAGCAAGATTCCAATATTTCCAAGTTATGTTGTCCATTAAAAACAAACCAAGCATTTCCATCTTCTTGGGTTCTCCTACTACTCTAAAGGAATCCATCTCTTATTATATTCCACACGAAAAATGCACAAAAATGTCTTCTTCTAATAAATACTCATATCACTCTTGTCAAATCTCTTTACTTTAGTATGAGAACATAGAGTGCCATTAGAAAACAAGACAATGCCACTGCCCAGTGAAGACGAATTCCGATAACTGCAGCTGAAAAAAAAAAGAAAAATGAATGAAATTCTAGTCACTACAGTTGACTCTCTCTTAACGGACACCTCTATAAGACGGACACCTCTGTAAAACGGACACCTAGAGTTGGTCCCTACCTTTCTTTACTCCTTTTATTTGACTCTCTATAAGACGGACACCTCTCTAAGACGGACACTTAGTGCCGGTCCCAAAGGTGTCCGTCTTAGAGAGAGTTGACTGTATATTATACATCAACCTTGTTCCCACGTTTTTTTCTTAGGAGATAAGTAGGAGAACAGCCTGGGAAAAGGTTTCAGGGCTGTTCACATAGAGGAAGGGAGATCCTATAAACAGGAAGATCATAGAAGGCGATACACCTTTTTGTTGGGTATATGCAGACATTTTGGTAGGTGTGGTTGCCAAGTAGGGAAGGAATTAAACATGGTGGGTGACAATGACAATCACACAATTTAGGACCTAAAACAGGAAGATCATAGAAGGCGATACACCTTTTTGTTGGGTATATGCAGACATTTTGGTAGGTGTGGTTGCCAAGTAGGGAAGGAATTAAACATGGTGGGTGACAATGACAATCACACAATTTAGGACCTTCTATTGGTAACAGCTCAAGCAAGCTTGAGGGAAATTTATCATTCATGTGCTTTTTTTAATGTTTATTTACATTTGATGTTTGTTTCACTCCGCACCAATAGGCCAAACTATGATAGCTCAGTTGAGAGTAGCCAAAAGGAGCACTGAAGGTGGATTTCAAATTCCTGAGACATGATTTCAAGATCTCTCTTCTTTCTTTCCCGCCCCCAGAACCCTCACATGCAGAGGAGGCTAGTTTGCTTGATCAAACTAGGTTCAGTTGGGCTACCAGCAAATTTTGTCAGAGCACTGCTTTAATTAATTATCTTTATTTAAGAACATTGACTTACCTTTATAAAATACCCCAAAGAATCCTTTCTTTTCAGAAAGAAAAAAAGATTTAAGTCTGGGAACTTTTGTTATGTAAGCACAAGTGCACACTACCAACAGGGCTAGAACTAACAGACCATCCAAGGAGTAAACTTGAAAGATGAAGAGATAAAAACATATAATAAAGAAAGGTGTTATTCATTGTGTTTTGTGTAATGTATAATAGGCTAGTTTATCAATTATTGTCTCTTGATAAACATTAATTTCAGATACTGATTGCTTCAATTTGACCACTAGCTTGTCTGCATTAGGTGATCACCTGAAGGCCAATAATATTGTAAACAGTGAATAATTATGTTGGGATCAAAATTAAAGTGACAGTATTTTGTCCCTGGAACACGGTTCTTTAAAAGAACTGTTATGTCACAAAAGGGGAGTTGTAAAGTACTAACTTCTGTGAGTGGCCAGCAAATCTCTCCATTTGGGGTGATCACTTACAAGTAATTGGAGGTTTGACTACATTCAGTGTTGACAAGGAACATGAAAATTCACAAAAACTGCCATCAACAAACAACGAGAAGTTTTTCCCCTCGTAGAGAGAATGAGCTTAAAATAATGTTAATACAACTTATTATTGTCTTGTAAGTTCTTTACAAATAATAAGTGATAAATCAAAAGAACACAGGAACCCGCCAGGAACCATCATGAAATTGGCTGAATAAAGCAAATTTTGGAGAGCAAATTGCAATTATTGTATTCAAAGATACCGACTGAACTGAAGTTAAATGCAATACCCGGTAGAGCTAAAGGAGCTACTTGATCGCAAAAATGGCGTTCTAAGATGAACAGAAACGGAAATTCCTGATTCTAGGCCAAAATACGAGAGTTAAGGGATAAAATTAAGCTTATATTTCCATATTTTTTGCCACGTACCAGCCACACAGGAATCAGTTTTATTGACACAAATATTTCTCGGAAAATAGGACTGACTAATTGTAATGTGACATGTATTCTTAAAATCTCTTACCGTTCATTTTAAGTCAACATAATCGTCCCAGTAGAAGGCCTTGATTGAGTAATTCTCCAGTTTATTTTGGTTTAAAATCTATGTACGCTTTTTCAACTCTCTCTTCGAAAAGCCCATATAACCGCGCGATACTGGGGATGAATTGTAAGTAATAAAATAAAAAACAACCACGGTACCCTGGGGGAATTTTTAAATTTTAGAAACTCGTTTGTTTCCTTTTTTCATCTGTGCGATTTTTATCAATTGTTATATTTTGTTGCTTAATGATATTTGAAATTCAAAAAAATATACCGACTTTTTTTTTCTTCCTATGTTAGGCTCTGTAATTAGAGAGCAAACATGTTTCTCTCCCTCCCTTCCCAAGGAGTTTTCAAAGAGACTTGCAATCGATCACGTTCTTCTTGGATCTTTACGTCATCGCCGGCATTTCTGTCTTCCCACTTGTTGGGTAAAGGTCTACAAATTCTTCTCCCAATGAATTTTCGGAGGTTTCATCCTAAAAACACCTCTAGTTATTGTTTTATTGCCAGAAGAAGAAGAAGTATACGAAAGAAAACATATTGTGTCTTGAAATAACACACTAGGAACAATTTTAAACGTTTGATTCTTGAAGACAACCATGCCCAAGGGAGACTCGAAAGGCAAAGGCAGTCGAGGAAAGCGCGGGCAACAACCTCGCAAAAAAGGTGATTATGCAACGCTATGTTTCATACTTGGTATCTCTTTCTTATATTGGTTTATAAAGTATTTTCAACTGAAATTGTGAATCGGATCTTAGCTTTGGAAGTGCCCGATCTTGTCGAGTGCTTTCGTTCTTCACAATCAATGGCGCGCGTTGATCATCATAAATGTGTTTTCGCGCTCGTCTTTATCCACATATCGGCTTGGTTTCTAGACTGGATTCTTTAATATGTAGCCGTTTGATGTTTTACTTTATTACCTATTACGTGTTTAGGACGAAGAGGAGACGAGGAAAGCGACGATGAGGATTTGGAAACCCAAAGTGTAGCAAGTTATTCATCAACACCGGGAACCCACAGTGGCGAAGAAGGTAAGAGATCGGAGTTTTTCTACGTTCAACACGTGACTGCAAGGCGACGCGAATTATTCCTCGGAAACTGCGCGTATTAATTAACATTGCTGCTTTTTGTTGAAATTTTTTAACTCCAGTTTTATTACAATAGCTGATGGTTTAGACGAAGGCGGAGATGAAGACTACGAAGACGACTTTGAACAAGTTTTGGCTGATTACATTGATAGAGCGACACAGAAAAGGTAGCGAAAATCTTTGCACGTTAAGATCAATTCAGATCATATCATTACATTACATTCTATGAAACACTATGATTTATATGATGCGATGTTATAATCTAGGTTTTGTTATTATTTTTGTTATTTTTTTTTATGTTAACTCTTTGTTGCACGTGGTAATGCACTTACTAGGAAGCACTGTTGACGCGTTTCGATTATTCATATTTTTCGCTTTTTGCGAGTTTGTGAAAAGAGCTTAAGTGATTTGTCTTTTTCTCTGAGCGAACAAAAGTTTTCTGTATTAGCTAGCAAATATATTAAAAGTATAGAAATCCTATTTCGTATCGTATCAGTTTCGTTATGTTGCTTGAGTGTAACTGAAGACGTTTCTCGTTCTTTTCAGACGTCGAAGATTATAGCGATTTACATCACGTTCTTGTTCTTAAATGCTTTTTTTTAGCGAATTCCGTAATGACATATTTCACCAGAGCCCAATATTCACTGAAATGTAATTTGGACCGTAACGGTGACTTAGCTTACTCAGCATTAATTTCATATGCACTGTTTTGTAAACAGATGATCGTTTTGTATAGCAACCTCCTTAGCTCATATTCTAATAGGGCAATTCTTGTACGAGTACAAAAGTTGGGTTGACTATCACTGAATGTCTTCTGTTTCAGTGCGCAGGGGAGGCAATCTGCTTTGTTTGCAATCCAGAAGGCTCTGAAATCCAGAATTGTACATGAATTTCTTTCTGACAGGTTTGTTTTAAATGAAGTTAATATGAATTTGAATTTGAATTCTTGGGGTCAGGCACCCTGCCAGCTGAACCTTTTTTTCACTTGATTTGATTTTGGTGTGCTCATGAAAGACTCTACATGAATTGAGTAAGGTCTTTGTTGAGCATGTGCTGGGATAAACTTGCAATCCCAGGTCTCATAGCTGTGTTTGCAGCTACCACCATTGGTTTATCCACACTCCACAGGTAACCCAGGCTCAATGTTTGTGTCACGTACTGGTTTCACAACATGAGTAAATATGGAGAACATATGGGGCAAAGTTTAGGTCTGGAAATTTACTAGAAGATGGAAATAAAAATTGATGAAACTTACCATGTGGCGAGTTGTTGTTGTCCTTAATATGCACACAAAGTTTCAGGAAAAATAGTCTCCTTCATCTTTCCTACATACTGTAGTGGCAAGGTAGGAGGCTGACAGCAGCATTGGGGCTACGATCGACCCCAAACCAGCACGATTTTTTTCGCGAAAATCGAATCAGTGGATTCAGGGTTTAGAGAAATTCATGTTCCACGAGCCTGGCGTGTTTATTCAGTGACTGGATTTGATTTTCGGGAAAAAGGCGCTCACAAACATTGAGCCTGGGTGACCTGTGGTTTATCAATAAACTGATGCTTGCACTCCAAAAACTAGTTTGAGGAGAGAGAACAAGATTGAGTAGGCCATAGGTTGGGGCTTTGGCAACTTTACAGTCAAACCAGGTCAAGCGTACCCCCAAGAATCCATTAATGAATTTATTATTCTAAAGTTGAATCCGTTGCTAAATGTAGATTTCAGATTGATCTCTGCATTCTTGTATATGTAATGAGCCGTGAATTCACATGCGAGGCAGTTATGAAATTTCTACCACCTCCATTTTCCTGAAATTGATGTAGCTTGATGT